CTGAAGTACCCAGAGGTGGCAGGTCTGCAAGCTGGAGAAACCCAGAATGGGGGCCTGGGGTTTGGGGATGGCTGGAGGAGTAGGGAAGTGCTCGGCTGACCAGCTCCCTCTGGCCCCAGCCAAGGTGCAAGCAGAGCTGGATGCTGTGGTAGGTCGGGTGCGCGCCCCAAACCTAGAGGACCGCGCGTGTCTGCCCTACACCAACGCCGTACTACATGAGATCCAGCGCTTCATCAGTGTCCTGCCACTGGGACTGCCGCGTGCCCTCACCCGCGATACCCACCTGCATGGCCACTTTCTGCCCAAGGTGCCCAGAGTCCAGGGATACTGTGGGTGCCAGAGGCATGAACACCCGTTGGCTAAAAGCCAGAACGGGTATACGTGGTGCCAACTGACGCTCAATGACCCAAAGAGCAGGCTTTTACAAAGGCTCTTAGATGGGGCCAGCACGGTGGCTCACACCTGTTAATTCCAGCACTCTGGGAGGATGAGGCAAGTGGATCCCTTGAGCTTAGGAGTTCAAGACCCGCATGAGCAAGAGTTGAGACCCTTTCTCTAAAAATAGCCAGGCACTGTGGCAGACCTCTAGTCTCAGGTACTGGGGAGGCTGAGGCAAGAGGATCACTTGAGCCCAAGAGTTTGAGGTTGCTGTGAGCTATGATAGGACAGCATTCTACTGAGGGTGACAGAGACTCTGCCTCAAAAAATAAAAATATATATGACTTGGCACCTGTAGCTCCGTGGTTAGGGTGCCAGCCACATGCATCAGGACTAATGGGTTCAAACACAGACAGGGCCTACTAAACAACAACAACAAAAAAACAAAAACAGGGGGTGTTGTGGCAGGTGCCTGTAGTCCCAGCTATTTGGGAGGCTGAGCCAAGAGAATTGCTTAAGTCCAAGAGTTTGAGGTTGCTGCAAGTTGTGATGCCACAGTGACATAGTGAGACTGTCTTAAAACTATATATATACCCACACACACATAGTCTTAGATGGAAGAGGTGTTCACACAGGCTGATAGAATGGTTAACTCTAGTTGTGCATACCCCAGGGCACCTTCGTGATTCCCCTGCTGGTGTCTGCGCACCGAGACCCCACCCAATTCAAGGACCCAGACTGCTTCAACCCCACCAACTTCCTGAATGACAAGGGGGAGTTCCAGAGCAACGATGCTTTCATGCCCTTTGCCCCAGGTCTGGGCCAGAAAGGGAGGGGACAAGCTTGGACCAGTTCTGAGGTGCACAGGCTGCTTACTCTGTACCCCTGTGTACCTAGGAAAGCGGATGTGCCTTGGAGCAGGACTGGCCCATTCAGAGATCTTCCTCTTCCCTACTGCTATCCTACAGAAATTCTCCCTGCTCCCTGTGGAGAACTCTGCCAACATCAACCTCACGCCACATTGCACTGGCCTGGGCAATGTCCCCCCAGCCTTCCAGCTTCGCCTAGTGCCCCGCTAAGATCAGGCTCTGCAACTTTGGGCTCACTTGCCCTCACACATCCTAGCCCTCCTTGGTCAATAAAAGCCATGACTTACAGATGGAGATTTCATTATAGAAAGGAAGAGTCAGATATGTGCAGCTCTGAGGTAAAACTTTTATTTCTTGGCTGACAGGACTTCTACACCCATGCTCCTCCAGGCACCTTCTACCCTGCCCAAGCAGCAGCAGCCCAGTCCACAAGGTGCCATAGCCAATGGGGTTGGGGAGTCACTTCACATTCCAGGCTGGAGTGGGGTGGGCTTATGTATACCCCCCAACTTTTGCCAGCAAGAGGCCATGACTCACCCCAACCCAAAATCCTGCATCCTGGTGGGAGGTGACTGCGCTTCCTCCCAGTTCTCCACACCTAATAAGGGGTATGACCAGACAGGCCAGGGCACAGAAGCCCCGACTTCAGTAATGGTATCCCCCAATGCTGGCTCCTGCCCAGGTCACAACTCCAGCCTCCATCATGGGACAGCAAAGGTCTCTCTTCCTTTGTCCTCAGCAATAGACAGAGCCCTCCACACCAGGCAGGACAGAGGCAAAGTCAGAAGCAGCAGCGATGGCAGGGGAGGAGCAAGCACCAGAGACTGGTGGGCTGCCAGCTCATGGCCCAGGGCTCTCCTGAAGTCAGTGAAAGGCATCTGTCCATGGAGCTCTGGGGCTAGCCACTAGGTGGGCGTAGTCTGCTGTGATACAGGTACTTGGACACCTTTCTGTCCTGATGCTGGGGGTGAGAGGACAGAAGATTGTGAGTCATCAAGGGAGGAACAAAAAGGCCAAGGGAAACCTCAGAAGATGGGGAAGAACCAGGAAGAAAATGGGGCTTATGTCAGAGGTACCAGAAGAGCGGGCTAAGGAAGATGGACAGAGATGAGGGAAAATGAGTGCTGGGATTTTTAATAAGAGACCAATGAGATAGAAGGGGTAGCTGGAAGCCTAGTGGGGTACATAGAATAGTAAAGGCTAGGCAAGTGGGAAAGGTACCTAGCTGATACTTGTCTTTGGCTGCAGCCCGCTCCTTGGCATCAAAATACCAGACAGTGATGGCGTACCTGGGGACCAGGGAAATTGGAGATCAGTTTTTTGCAATTCCAGCCACCATACCAATAGTGACAGTAGAGCCCACCCTTTGGAGCCACCTGGTTCTGTTCCCACCTAGAGCCCCTCTCAGCGCCTAGTCATTTTGCAGATCTGACAGGACATCGTTGGCACAGAGTGAGCACCTGGGTACATCCCCAGAACTACGCAGATCTGACAGGACATCGTTGGCACAGAGTGAGCACCTGGGTACATCCCCAGAACTATGGGTCATACCTGGTAGCATAGGCTGGCTTCACCTCGTGAGGGTTCCGCCGGTCAGACCAGAAAATAAGCAAACGGTCAAAAAGTGGCTCGATGTTGGCTACCACAGGCCGGCCCTCAGGGAAGATCTGCAGCAGGCCACCATGCACCTGGGGTCGGGCCAGAGGATGAGGCCAGCTGATCCTCCCTGGAGCCTCTGCCTTGCACTGCGTCCCAGGAGTCCACCAGGGGGCGCAGTGCCAGCAGGCATCACTCCCTCCCACCACTCAAGGCTCTTAAAATGAATGACAAGCCAGAATCTGTATCACCATGGAGATGGGCAGGAAGCTACTAAAGACAGGAAAAGGGGGAGAGCGTTCACTACAGGCCGGGTGGGGCTTGGCAGACAGCACCATTCCCGGAAAAGGGGGGGGGGTCGTCCCACCACAGTCAGCCAGAGAGGAGGTGCCATTTCCCAGGACGGGCCGGCACACTGCACCGCCCCCCTGTGGGTTGAGAAAAGAACAGGAAAATGCCAGAATCTGAGCAGGGAATGGAAAATGGAGAGGATGCACAAAGCCCCGGCCCCACCCTCACCCCCTACCTTAACGTCCCAGTTCTGATTCAGGTAATAGATACAGGTGATGCAGCGCCCATCTCCATGGGGATTGTCAACATGCCTCACGTACCCCAGCCCGTTGCCTGGGTAACACGCCACCATGGCCTGGCAGAGATGGAGGGAGGTGGGTTCACTGGGGCTACATAGGCACATCTGAAGCAGCAGCCATTATTTCCTTTCTCACCCTTCCCAGCCCCTTGTATTTCCCCTGGTTCCTTGGCACCCAGATGGTCTCGATAAATACCTGAAAATTTGATTTTTTAAGAAATACCCCACCTCAGACATTTCACTAGAGTAAACCAATTTAAACGTTTTCAGGTCTTGTAGGAATGTGGCCTCACAGCCCTAGGCCAAGTGTTCTTATCCTTGACTGCAGGACGGAATCACCTGGGGACCTTTGATACACTGATGCTCAGGCTCACCTCAGAGGTTCTGATGTACTTTGTAGGACTTAGAATGTTTTAAAGTTCTCCATATAATTCTAATGTGCAGCAATGTTGAGAACTGTTGCCCGTGACTACAAAGAATCGTCACTAAATAAATCATCGTCTCAGACACATCCAAACAGGA